TAGTAAAACATTGTTTGACACAAAAAACATATTTCAAATTAAATCTTTTTTATTATTAATTAAAGATATACAAGCTGATCTAACTCATGTGCTGAGCTTTGTGTTTCTACTTCAGAAGGTCACAGCTGACGCCAGATTCTTTTGAGGGAAACATTGAAATGTGAGTGAGTGGTGTATCAGTTATGGTTGTGGTGCGTCGGAGACTTGCTTACCACTGAGGGACACCAGGGGGGCTCTGAGGGTCGTACGGGGGGAAGCCGCCGCGATACCTCAGGCCGTCATAACTCCCGGGGACAGAAGAGGAGGAAGAGGCTGGCTGGCTGTCCTGATTTGGTGTGTTGGCAGGGGGGGCGGAGCCGGCATTGTCGGAACTCTGCGTGACGAGACGCGAACGCCAATCAGGAATAATCAATGCAAAGGAAACAGAATGTTTTAGAAAAGGGCGTGTTTGGACTGAACCCAAAGTATGTGACTGTGACTGTGAGTGTGCTGCCAGTGGAAAGACACAAGTGAAAGCAAACAAACACGGATTAGCTGTTGGCACTGCAACTTGAGGTGATTGCACAAGTTGAAAAGTTTCCATGTATGGAGACAAATTCACAAATTCATTCATACAAGTTCATGTTTTTTTTTTATTATGTATTAAAGATTTTCTCATTAATCGCCTGGCAAGCAAACATCTTGCCTCTACAGTATGTCACCTTTAGGATTTAGCTGCTAGCACTTGATATAAAGCACTAAATCAAACAAAGTGGAGCTCCTTGTGGTTCAGCTGCTCTCTGTGTGCTGCCACACACACATTGTTTTATCCCCACAGGAGGCGGCCGTGGTTTGTCCGTCTACTCACGCTGGAGTCAGAAGCAAGAGAGCCGGCCATGGAGGGGCTCCGAGGCACGGGCGAGGCTGGGGGGCTATGAGAGGCGCACACTAGATGCATCATGTGGTACTCATCCTGCTGTGGGTCGGCGAGGTCGGGGCACGAGCCGAGGAGGTGGGAGGAAGAGAAAGAAGAGGAGGAGGAGGAGGAGGCAACAGAGCGGAGAGACAAAACAAGAAACAGAGAAGAGAAAAGAAAGAAAGAGAAAGAGAAAGAGAGAGAGAGAGAGAGAGAGAGAGGGGGAGGATTAGTGTGGACATGGCCAGAATTCAGACACAATGCTCACCCTTTGTTGGTAAATCACATCAGATCAGCTTTTGTTTCCCCAGGCGGCCTGTTTCAGTTCCCTCACAGCAGCCGCACACAGACACGCACGCAACCTGTGTGTGCTCGAACACACAACAACAAGTCGAGAATAAAGAATGGACAACTAAATACCTGCCAAACACACACACACACCACTCCTGGAACGTAAGGAGGATAGAGGGTCTATTACAGGCTTGCTTGACTTTCATTCGGAAAATATTCAAACATAACAATTAGGTTTCTGTAATTAAATTGGCAACTATTTTAATAAGTGAATAATCGTAGTTCTTTTTTAAGCAAAAATTAGTATTTCTTGCTTCTTCAATTTGCAGGTTTGATGCTTTTCTTTGTCAGAAATAACTATTAACTTAATATCTTTGGGTTGTGGACCGCAAAACAAGACGTGTGAGGAATTATAAGGATAACAATGATATGCAAATTCATCGATAATGAAAGTAATCATTAGTTAGTTGCAGCACAATATCCTTTACACGTCTCTTTAAGCCATTTAAATAAGGATGGACACTACACGGTAAAGTACAGCAGAACACAAGCAGCTGGAATAAACCTAAAGGAACATGTAGTTAGGTAGCCATCCCGATTTTATCAACACATTGAGAAACTATAAATGACTAATGAAAGCGCTTTTCTCATCAGTCACACATGTATTGTTTCCAGCAGGTCGGGGATGTTGCACACAGCACTGAGCGCCGAGAACTAACACTGAATAACCGCACGTAAATGCGCACACACACAGAAACCAGCACTACAGCAGCTCTCACCTTTCTAAGCACATCTCTGAGCTGTAGGTGGTCTTGAAGGAGCCGTCCTGAGTACACCAGCCGCTGGTCTTTGGACAGCTACAACAGAAGCAGGGCACAGTGTGAACAAAAACATGCTACAGGCAAGTGCGTTTCTCAGAATAACAATCGAACATCTATCTTTACAGTTACAGTGTAACCACATATGGGTGTCCTTACCTGCTGTCTCTTTATATAACATATCAAATGTGACCTGAGATCTTCTGGCTCTTCCTCAGATATAAACTGCAAGCTGACACCGCGAAGAGCCCGAGAGCAAATCTGGGCCCCGGTGCTAAAATTAACCTGTGTTCCCAAGGTCAAGATTTTACTTTTAACCTCGGCTTTCAAGCCAACGTGAATAAAAAGTGCTCCGGAAAAGAAAAAGAAAAAAAAGAAATTGAACAAATTACAATCCCGTGACAACTGGAAAGCTGAGGAAGACCATGTGATGTGATTTTAAGCACTATAACAGCTACAAAACGGACTTTGTTTTGAGATTAGATTCCCTAAACCGCTGTGTCGAAGGTCATGAGCGAACCACGAACCTCACCAACAGACGTGTTTTCAGGACACACCCTCAGCTCCCTCTCGGTCACGACAAACCGGTTTATTTCTAGCAGCCTCTAATGTTTCCAGCTGCCAGAGGGGAGAGACCTTGTTGTTGTGTGGATTGTTACAACATGAGATGTCAAATCCTTAATGTGTGTCAAGTGATTAGGCACCTTTGGATTAGATCAGATTGCCGGCCTGGATTGGATTTCAAATCTTACTAAAAGCACAGCCCGGCGCAATCTCTGCGCTCCGAAGGGCTTCTCCTCAGTTAGGGTCATTTTGTGAAGGACGTTTGGCCGTGATGGAAAACGGAGCGCTGAAGCGAAGGAATAACAAAAACTCCACTTTTATCTCTGACAGCTTAAATACATTGTTGTATTTTATGTGTGCTACGCTTTCTGAAGCATGATCTAATTGTTCCACACACACACACACACGCGCGAGGCATTTTATTTCTGCTTACAGGGAGAAAGAGAAAATGTTTGAGCCCGTCTCTCCTTTCTTTCACTGACCGGGGAACTGAACTGATCTGAACGAGCACTGCAACAGTCCAGCACTGACCCACCTTCGTGCATTAAAGCTCGTCTCCTCCCATCATTCCAGTCCAGCTCAGGTCGTTTCGGTTCATTACGCATTTGAGTAGTTATTTTTGGGTTTCCATTGTCTAAAGTTGTGGATGATACCACAGGCCAGAGTCCCATTTTCACACTGCAGACCATTGATCAGTCAGAGAGAACAGCCAGTCTTCGCCCGGCTGTGTGGTTTGGTTTTCAGCACTCTTTTGTCTTGCTGCCTGCGGCCTTTTATTCCCCAAACAAAGCTCGTGTCCTTGTTGTGATAAACAACCACGTATGATGTGTGTGTGTGTGTGTAGTGAGACGGAGAGAGGAGCGAGCGAGTGAGAGGCCGGAAAGTGACGGTGAACGCGAGCGGAGGAGGACAAGGTTAGCTGCAAGTTGTCAACCTGGCAGTGAATGCACAGCGCAGGTTACAGTGTGGAGGTTAAGAAAAGTCTCGTCTGTTTGACGGCTGCGTCTACATTTTAAAATACTGTCTAACACATCCAGGGTTTAAGTATTAGGTGCGGGTTTAAAGTGCACATTACCGAAGCCGTTTGGTGGCAGTGCCCATTTTAACACCTTGCTTGTTGCTATGGTTACACGTCTACTTCTGCGGCCTGTTATTTATTTATTTTTTTTTCCCATCGTGACAAAATAAAACACCTGAAGAGGCAGCGTCTCGTCTGCAACATCATCTACACTGATCAGAGACGTTTGAAGTCTGCGGTAAAGAAAGGAAATACTGTTAAAATGAGAGTATTTTTTATTAAATGTGCGAGCAGGGTGGCTCTAATATAATATAACACAGTGATGTTTATTTATTTTTACTAGTTCACTCATGAACTGTCGACTGAATCTGCGTTTATTTTGTGTCATTTTTATTTAAATATGATGAATATTTGTTGGTTCTGGCTTCTTAAATGTGAGAATTTGACCCTGTCTTCACATTACAGTAAATTATTGGGGGTTTAAAAAAAGAGATTTAAAGACGTGTTAACTGTCTGCCGGCCCTATAAATACACCTGTTTCAACCTAAAACCTCACCGTAACCTGTCAGCGATGCCTCCTGCTCCACGTTTCAGAGTATTCAAACCCACCCAGACACTAAATGGAGCCAAAACTTAATAAAGAAACCCGTTCGAACACGAGCGCTACCCACCGGCTTGCTGGGGTACACGTTGGAGATGTGACTCTTCAGCCTCTCCACGGTCCAGTTGAGGAAGCAGTTGATGGTCTGGTCTTCAAACTTCTGGTTGGGGGCCTTGATGACCAGGGTGACAGGACTATCAGGTGCCCCAGAGTCCATGGCTCATATTACTAACAGGCGCGGCTCTGAAGAATCTGAGCTCAGGACTCACCTGAGGAGAAAGTTCACCTCAAACTCTCTCCATGCTGGGCTCAGCAACACACCTGAAACGGTTCCTGCTGCGGGTCGGGGTGCGGCGCTCCCCACCTCTAAAACATCTGCCTCATGTTCGGGGGGATTTTTCGAGTGGATTCCAACTATATCGACGGAGGTTCGTCTGCGAGGGGGGTTTCTGTTGAAGAGAGAGGAAGAGTTGACTTTAAATCACGTTATATATCTGCTCCTGAGCTGCATTACACTGAGAGGTGTTTCTAATACTCTGGCCATCCTGTTTATACCAGTAAGACTCAATATTAAAGAGACATTTCTCAGTATAACATGTTACACTTCAACAGAGCAACAAACCACAGCTTCAAAAATGATAAGGCTTGGATTACAACCTCCGGTGTAAAATAAATTATAACTTCTAGAGTAAAACTTGTGCCTGTTTAATGGGGTTTCTGAGTTTAGCGCGGGCGTGGCTAGCTAGACCTAAACGTGTTTCAGTTGTAAATCACGAGACTTATTTACATCACAGTAAACTAAGCTCACCCAGTGATAAATGAAAGACATTTGCTCTTAATATGATAGCGATAAAACTTATCTCCTATAACAATTTCTTAAAAACAGGTCAAGAATGTTTAATTTCATTTTTAAAACAAGATAAATGGGGACTTTAACGTACATTACTCATGTGTTAGGGACTATTTTCAGGCCCTGGATAAGGTGCTCCATTTAAAGT